TACAATAAAATAAAATTTTTTTATTCATGACTCAAGATTTTTTTTATTATTATGGATTGAACTTAAAGTTTCCTCTAAAATGATTACGTACCATTTTAAATAAAGGGATCAAGTTTTATGTGGGTCAAAAGTACCATGTAGTTTAGGCTCTCACGATAAGAAGCATTACATTTCAAGCGTAGTATTTGTTGAGAATTTTCTATTTATTTGGTTAATTATTAGACCGTCTTTATCCATAGTCGTGTAAAAAAAATACAACACTTAAAATGTAATGCTCATTATTGTAAGAGCCTAAACTACATGGTATTTCCATCTCGCATGAAACTTGATCCTTTATTTAAAAGGGTATATGGTCCAAATGAATAAAGAAAATTTTATTTCATTATAATAAAAAAATTCCAAAAAATGATGATGATAGTACTAATAATATAAAATTACAAGTACATACATGAAAGAACAAAAAAAAAAAAAATCAAAAGCAATCATAATATCCTTTGAAATTGTGGCATCCACTCGAAGTTCTTAACTCTTGTTGCACATCCTCCAAAAGTCCGCCAAATGCCTTGAACGATCTAGCATCTATATCATTCACAATTAGAGCATTTTTAATGTCGCTCATCTTTTCTCACACTTTAGAAGCTTCAAGTTTTTGCTGGTCTAAATGTTCATTCTGCTCAATAATCAACTTGGAAACTTCATTTCGTTTAGCTTGGACAACTTTAAGCTTGGCTTCTAACTCATCTTCCTCTTGCAATATTTGTGCATGTTGTTGCTGAAACTTGTCCTTATTCTCAAGGGCATGTTGGTCATTGCATAATATATTCTCTAAACTAAATTTGCACTCCTCAAGTTGCAATCCTTGCTTGCTAAAGTCGGTTGAGAGAAAATCGAGGATTATAGCTTGTTATAAACTTTGACCTTTTGAAAATAGTCACTTACAAATTCTCGGAGAGAAGCAAGGTTAATTGCATTAGTATCTGAAATTGCATGGAAAATTTTGCATGTATCTTGCTCAAGGTAAGGAGTCTTATCAAATGGAGTGCGCATAATCTTCTTATGTATACTTAATCTTCTTATGTATACTTTCCCACATAATTAAAGCAACATGTCGTCGAACATCAGATATTACATTATCGGCACAGAAGTTAGAGAATTCAGAAATAGCAACATGTACCACCTTCTGGGTTGATGATAGTTGTAGGCCAAGGATGATAATGAGCTACAACTCTGTCAGTTGGCACTATGAAATTTCTAACATAGGTGGCAATAGGATCAAGGATATCAGGACTCGTCTAAGATACGGGACTACCTTACTCTCTAAATTATCGAACAATAACATTTAGAGGTGACTAGAAATAAAATAAACAAAATGATCGCTAAAAAATAGTAATCATAATCACAAAGTTAAAGAAAAAAAACTCACAGGTAAAAGCAGGACATTGTGAAGTACTCGCAACATCATCGAACAATTTGTCGTCACAAACTACTAGCAGCTTGGATTTCTTGGGTCTTTTCCAATGATGATCACTATTAGTGTTGTGCCTTTTCTCATTATCTTCAAAAATAAATTGCTTAGTTTCTAAAAGACGAATTACTTTCCCTCCATTGTCATCTCCAATCTTCTTGGAAATTTTTGGTTTGGAAGGAGGTGGAAAGGCACTGATCGTTAAATTTTGTAAGTCTTTTTAAAGATAGCTCATATTCTTTGCTAGCCACCCGTTTTTATAACATGGAGTGACCTTGTTATATGGATTTGACGTACGTGCAAGAAGATATACTTGGGACGAGGGCATATTTCGAATACAAATCATCCAATGACGCAATTTATTATCGAAGCTGGTTGGTGGAGCCTCTTCGCTCAAATCATTCGGTATGTCTTGATGGAATCTAAATTTTCTACCAATTCGACAATGACTATAAGTTTCAATGACCATTGAAACTGCACACCATGATGATAAGAAACATGATCTAATACTTGAAAGGAATAATGATTCCAAAATGAAAGCTTTTCATTATCTTTCAAAACATCGTTTCAGCTCCTTGATCAAATACTTGCATGCCACGATATATATCTACTCCTATGAATTATATCATGAGCATCAAAATCATCAAAATACTTAACTTCACCTTCTCTAGAAAAATTAACCATTATTGGGCCTCTGACTTGCACAGGAGTTTTGAAATGCATATCGAAATTATGGGCAAGCCAACCATGAACATAATTCATAGAAAAGCATGCATTCTAACGTCCAGCCAAAGTTGATGCATTATGAGTCTATCCTAATCAACGATAAATGTTGGTCAAAACAGGAATAGCAATGTTGAAAGAAATGTCTTCAGCCATACAACTGGAAAGAAATTTTTACGAGTAAATACAAATACGCAACATGATAATAAAGAGCAAATAGATACTCACAACTCCTTGGAAGACATCCTTCTTCTTGAGTAGACAACTTAATAATTTCTCGCAACATAGGACAACTTCATTATAACAACTACCTCTAATAGGGAGGCCCCATGATCTCCACATATCCCACAAAGAGATAGACAGCTCCCCATATGAAGTGTGAAGGGTATTAGTTGAATGACACCAAGTCTCACAAAATGCTTGAACTATATTGTTGTTACGATCATAGGTGTACAAAGAAGCTAGCACAACATCCAACAAGCGAACATCTTGCAGCAGTGTGACAGTATCTTCTCGTTTCAAGCAACCACGACCTCTAACCATTAATGGATATAAAAGAATTCTCCATGTATTTTTAACGTAGGGCCCAACGAATTGTGACCTTAATTATTTGACAACCTAGTATCGACTCTGGATTAGGACTTCCATCCTTTTCATTTATTGGAGAGTCTAAAAACCACGTCGTTGAGGAAAATCATGACTAAAGCTCTCTCTTTAGACCATCTGGGTAAAAAGCCAAAATGATCTAAACGAGGCCAACCATTCAGACTATGCATTGGCTTCTAAAGGATAAGCCCACTTTTGAGCGGTTGTTCCTTGTCCTTCAAAATAACTAAACACCTCTTCTTGGGATCAAGATGTTCCGTGAAAATATACTTGAAACAAGAAACCCTGCAACAAAGGGACATTGTGGTCTAACATAGGAATACCTCCAACCAATGGTATTGGTTGCTACGATCCAGGAAGCCGAGTCATACCATGTCCAAAACCTATCTTGGAAATTTAAAAGATTAAAAATCAAAAATTGAGAAAAACCTAAAACAATTAAGGGCTATTTGAATATTTAGTGAATTCTCTTTTTACAGGACAATTATAAATAAAATTTTAAATGTCGATTCCATGGAAATGTTGAGGTCTCAATTTCGTGAAAATGTCGATGGAAATATCGATAAAATGTCGATGTCAACAGATATTTCTAGAAATGTTATATAAATAAAAAATTCATAAAAAATATTTATATTAACAAATAAGCATTTCCGCATTTCTAAATAAGTTAAAAATGATTAATGTTAATATTATATCTATATTAGTGATATCTTGTTCATATTTTTTCGATTTCTTTGCAATACTATAGAAATGTTTATTTACCCCTCATGTTGATGTCGAACCCATGAACACGATACGCCAGATGAAAATTTAATATCCTGATTATAATATGTGGCCACTAGTACTTCAGTTTAAATCATTTTATTTCATTCCTAAACTTTATTTGTAAAATCATTTTGGTCTCGGCATTAATTTTTGTAAAATATTTAACAAAAGTACTTGTTTTTCTTAATTATATTATGAGTTGGATAGAAGAAGTATTTAAAGCCACGTGATTCTCACTTTTTAACTAATGAAAGTCAAAATGACTAAATATAAAATTAACGTACCATTTGATAACTTCATTTTTTTATTTTTTATCTTTAAAAGAAAAACAAGATTGTTTTTAACTCACTCAACTATTTTTTTTCTGTTTAGTTTTAGAAATACATTTCTTTTCTAAATCGTAATTAAATTCTAAAGGTAAAAAAGTATTTTTAAATATTGATGTCTATTTTCCGCTCTTCAATATATTCTCTCTCTAACTATCTCTCCAACTGATCCCTTTCTCTAACATTTATCTCTCTAAATTTTCCCCAAAACCAAAATTATTTTTCCCGAACTTCTCATAAAATTTATCTCTCTTTTGATTTTATCTCCATACAACTTTTGCCTCTCTTTCTTCTTTCTAACTCATGGTCAACATATCTCTCATGTTGATGCATAAATTTGGCTTCTTGGAATTCCGTCAAATTCGCACCAGAATGTGATTCTTATCACACATGACTTCGATGCTTAAATTAGAATCATAGTAGTCGAGCATGAAGAGTAGGATATTTAGTCGTAGAGGGACTTGTAGTGTACCTTCATTATGAGTATTTACCTTTAGTAGAAATCCTAAGACCATTCGGATATCTTTCTCTAAGGATTCGAATCGTTGAAAATAAGATTTTCTCATCCATAACATCTAACATATATTTCTCTAAATTTGTTCTCCTCTAGTTTCTCTTTCAAATATATCTGGCACATTTTTTACTCTCTAAAACTTGTAGAGTAAAACGTATCAAATAGTTCCTAGTCTTTTAAAGTTGTTCTCATTTTGATTATTAATCTTTTAAAATTCTCAATGTTTTAAAAATTTTAATTACATTATTTCTTATAAGAATATGTCAGAATTTGTTAACAAAAAGTTAATGTGTCGTTAAATTATTATTTTCTTAATATATTTTGACACATGAACATGCTACTAAAATAAATCTTGTCAATGAACGTGAAGTTGAGTTTTATGTGTAAAGTATGAGTGACATATTAACATGTGATGTTAATACAACAACTAGATAATACATCAATTTTTTATAGAACAGAGTCGATAATTTTGAAAAGTTAAGTGCCAAATTGAGAATTAGCTAAAAGCATAAAGCTTAGAGAACCTTTGGTGTGTGTGTGTATATATATATATATTTTTTTTTTCGAGGAAAGAACCTTTGGTATATTTAGCGGAGAGAAATAGAACAGAAGGAAATGCGTAAGATTACATTAAATTCTTACATTACAGAATTGTGTATTACTTAATCCTTTGCTAACCATGAGAACATATTCTAAGCCATACAACAACCAAAGAAATGGCACATGAAACTAAGTAAGCTGGCAGGCCTTCAAAATGGCATCTATTTCGCCTAATTCTCTCTCCCGAACCCAAACCCGAACTGGTTCAGGCTCGCTTCATGTAAAATGTTCCCTTCAACACTCTTTCCTAGTTTACAATATAAAGTTACAAGTTCCTGTGTATGGTAGAAACATCCCTTGAACCTGATAATGAAGTTGGATGTTCCCGCACGCGAGATAAGAGGAGGGACACTTGCTCGGTTGCAATATCGAGCCTCTCCCGTGATTTTGCAGATTCACTTACAAGAGTTGACACCATGCTTTGCAACAGTTGAATCCTTTCTGTATGATCATTTGTAGTACTCTGAAGGAGCTTTACTGAGGGCATGCTTATCCTTCGCCATCGCACGGGAAGATAGCTGTCTGGTATCTGGAAACAGTTCCCGGTCGAGAGGACTCGAAGAGCATGGCGACAGAGAATTCCTGAGAACTCAAACTGATGACAACTGCAACTTATGATACCCTCGCGAGGAATCCAATACACCTTCCGACCTCCCTCCGCTTTTGTATGATGTCTCACAAGGAAGCCATCATCCATTTGAAAGGATGCATAATGAGCCGCCAACACGAGTTGTTCTTGAAGCTTCGAGAAGGCGAAAGGAGTGAGGATGGTCGCAGCGTGCGATTCCATTGGGGCCCCTGTTTTTAGGCTGATATTTTGAAGATTTTGTTGCATTGTTTGTTGTTCTCCAGCTTGATCTTTAAAATCCACAGCAACAGCTACCTGGATATGCAAACTTAATGCCATAAAATCCAAAAATATCCTTATATCCTAACAATTAAACCATTCTTACGAGAAATAAACTCAATTAAATGATCCAGTCACGCAAATTTATCCAACCATTGGATTCTCAATTCTACTATTTTTCTGTCATGTCGTGTTTAAATCGACAAACATTTTACAATAAGAATATCATTTCATCATTTAGTTTATAATGTTAATGACAAGGCCGGTACAGAATCACAATTCAAGATTCAATAATGTAATCGAAACATTTTAAAATTTAAGGACAAATAAACATCAAAGAGTAGAGACTAAATTTATAATTGAAACTATTTAAAGTCAACACCTCTTTCGGGACATTCTCGCCAACCTCTCCGTTTCGGATGTCCATCCAATCTCGTTTTATTCATTCTAATTCTCAACAACTAGATTAATATGTTTTAATCTTGCATCTTGTTGTTTCCAAGCTCCTTTGTCTAGGCCATTATTTTTTTAGGCTACTTTTGTTTAAATGAGAACTAGTTTTTATTTATCAAACGTATATTTTTTAACAGTTTCAACCGCATCGATATATCAGAAGATTTAAACAAAATCTTTTTTATAGGTTTTACAACTATATACAGGAGTTCTAAGTATTCTCACGATGTTACTTGGGCATAATCTATTTTATAGGTTGTAGAACTATATCCTTGAGTTCTAAGGATTGCAATATCCAATTTCAAGCCATGCATTCTCTTCCCTATAAGACGACAAGGTCCAGAATTGCTAAAAGTGCAGGAAAGGTGTCATTTGAGTGAATCAAGGCATCCATATATAAATTTGTTATCTATAGAAATAATTTGTTAGAGACAAAGACAAAGAACATCAAAGCATTAAAAATCAATGACTAATACAGCACAACTATAAATGTGAAAAAAAAAAAAAATCAATTGCAACGGTAAATTGTGAACTAAGTTACTTATTGTGGCAAATTTTATAACTTTTTCTATGTCAACCGTTATAGTGACTATAGTTGTCCTATGGGACCAGTAGAGTTGTGCACAAGCTATTCCTTCAAACACTGATTATTAGAATATATATATATATAAAGAAAAAATGGGAAAAAGAAGTGGTAGAGGGGCTTGAAATCAAGAATGACAAGACAACAAACATGGCATGTATCAAGAAGAAAAATTCAAATGCAAAGATAATTATTAAATAGAAAGGAAAAAACAAGTGAGAAGAAAGAGGAAGCAAGAGAAAGAGAGAGTCTATGAAGACTGAGAGAGAGAGAGAGAGATATAGGGGGAGTGGGACAGAGAGATTTAATGGGAGAAATTTCTGAAGGAGAGATGGCCAAAGCACATCTCAAGCAAATAAAAAACAAGCGGCTGAAGTTCAAATATATGGGTTTAAGGGAGAAAAAAAGTACTATGGTTGCTATGGAAGAGAAAGACAAGGGTTTAACTCTCTAATAAAGGGCTTTGCCATGGACATCCACGTGGAATGTTGGAAATGATGTGAATAGTCAAAATGCGGAGTTGGCAAAATGACATACAACCAACTGAGCCGAGGGGCTTTTTTTTTTTTTAACAAGATACGAACTTTTCATTGATAAATGAAAATGAACAAAATTGTTCAAAGATACAAACTCCCAAAGGAGTGAACAAAACGAAACAGAGCCGAGAGGCTATAGTTGCCTGACTCCCACCAAAGTGAGTGCTAGGCACCTTGAAAACTCTTATCTTTTAAACACATTTATATGAAGAGGTAATAATCTTAACAACAAAATATAAGGCAAACGTCCCATAAACTCAATACCAAGTGCCTAAAATAAAAGCTTCAATCAAATTACATTTCCTGCACTTTCACTATACACTCTATTTGGTTTTATCAAGTAGAATTTATCTATTGTTGTTCTTTACTTTTTGGAAAAGATATAAAGTCTACTATAAGGGATGGCTTTAGTGATAACGGCTTAGGATGTTTGGAGATTCTATAAGGTACTAGTTCAAACCTTGAGATGAAAATTTTAATAACTTATTACCCTTGTCTATGAAAGATGGTCTTGAGGTGTGCAAAGCCTCCTAGTGATAAATGAGGTGGATGGGTCACGAGCATAGTCCAAGGAGTAGGGTCTCGATACCTAGTTGTCAATATATATTATATATAACAAAATAGAACCCTAGCTCGGTTTCCACAATTTTTGTGTTTATTTCTATCTATAAGTTTGCTTACCGGACTAAGATTTTTCTTTCCTTAATTGTCTCTACTAAAAGTTTCTCTAATGTTTCTTAAAAGAATCACACCCTAAATAACGAGTAACAAGGGGCTAGAGCATGTTGCTGCCAAAAGATTCCCCTATTCAACCTCGTTATTTGCCTTTCTTTGGAAGGTCAAAATTTCAAGAAAGAATAAATTCTTTGGATGGCAAGTCTTACATGAAAAAGTCAATACCTTGGATCGTATTGAGAGGTGTTCTTCCTTCCTTTTGAAATCGTAGTGGTGTGTGCTTTGTAAAGGTGCCTTAGAGGATCTCGACCACATTCTATGGTCTTGTTAGTTTCTACAGGATATATGGGATCATGGCTTTTAGTGCTTTGGGGTGTCCCTCTCGTTTTTGTGGCAGACCTATCTCATTACTACTTTGTGGGGAATTTAGCTGGAGAGAAACAATAGAATCTTTAGAGATGGAGAGATCCAGGAGGTATGCTGCAGGGGATTGATCTCTAAGATTAATTGTAATTATCAGTTAGACGTTATTCTTTTGGATTTGAGCTCCTTTCTTTAGGGGCTGTCCTATTGTCGGGCTAATTTTTTGTATGCCCGGGTATTTTTTATTTTTTTTTCATTTCTCTCAAGGTTTCTTATATTGAAATATATATATATATATGGCTTCAAATAGAGTTTAGACACATGGTAGATGTGGCATACCCTAGCCTAGATTCAATATGTGTGTGTTCATAATATATGAAAGCAATCATATAATATGAAAAGAAGAATAATAGCATTAAAAACCAAAATCAACCAATAATTGCCAGCGTTGTTCTAAAATCACTCAATCATAGGCTAAAGATTGGCCCTATACTTCAATCAGAAAAAAGAGATGAAAGATGCTTGACGAAGTACCAAACAAAAAGTTATGAATTCTAAAACTACACTGGGAACAATATTGCCTGCGTAAGTCGGATATAAGTCACATCTAATCTAACTGAAATAGTAAGATAAAGCAGCATACCTGTTCGATAAACTGTGCAAGTCGAGTCTGTGCACTCAAAAATCGCTGAATAAAAGCATTAATTGTTTTTGACTGCCCAATAGTTGTCATTCCAGCAAAGAAGTGGCTTCTCAAGAATGGTGATGCCCAAAAGGAACGCAAACTGTATAAGTTGACGATGTGCCTGTTAGTATGCAGACCAAAGGAATTCACCATGTCCCTCCACCCTATTTCAAAATCCTCAATCGACTCAAGATTATACAGTCGACAAAATTCACTCTTCCACTCGTTGTAACGTTCTCCAAGAACAGCATTAAACCATGATGGAAACTTTGCCACAATCATCCAAATACAAAGAGCATGCTTAGTAGTTGGCAGTTCCATTGCAATTGCGTCTTTGAGACACCCATTCTGGTCAGTTAATATCGTCTGTGGTGCCTTCCCATTCATGAACCCTATAAATGTCTTCATAGCACGGTAGAAATAAACAAATAAATAAACTGAGTGGCAAACTATTTAAACAGATATCATGTCTATTGCAGAGCCATAATAGTGAATGAAGGGGCAACTTTAAAATCAAAATGACAAATGACATGAGTACTAAACTTCTCATAAAGGGAGGTGAAACCTGAGCTCTTGCAAATTGACAACCATGAGCTAAGAAGTGAAAAACATGCTTTGACAAACTAAAATTCCTCAAAACGTCTGTTTCTAATTAATTTAAGAAAATATGATGCAAGATTCAGAACCTTGTGTTAAATTGAGAAAGATAGCTATTAAAATTCAAAACAAACATTTAAATATTTTAAATCTTCTACTAGTTATGTTACCATAGAGCATATTGATTTAATTTTGTAGAGCTGAAGATAAAGATATGAAATATTATAGTTACCAGAAAAAGTTAAATTCCCACTGTGATACACTTTTTTTTATCCAACAACTGATGTCATTTCATTATTAAATTGTTGAATAAAATCAGACAAACTGATCCTACTGTGATACACTTATTGACGAAGAAATAATATTAAAACTCTAGTACCTTTAAAGCCCATGAAAATGATCTCAAATTCTCCTCCCGAAGAAGTACACAACTTAAGAAGCAAGGCATTCCGTAGTTATTAATTCCAACCCATATCCCGAGTGGCATGTCAAATGCAGTCAGTCGATGTGTAGTATCAAAGACCACTGCATCACCAAATATCTCATATGCCTGAATAGATGACGCATATGACCAGGCAATGTTCTCTAACCTGTTGTTTGAATCAATTACATACTCAAATTTGAAGTTCGGATCTTTCTCCTTAATGTTTCTGCACATCCTCAATAAATCGATGCTCTCTTCTTCATGATCTAATTTTCTAAATGATTGAAGTAGATTTCTGACATCCTTCTCAGTGAACGGCAAATATCCTGGCTCCACACCTTTCTCTAGCTCCATCAGCCTCATCATTTGCTGCACAGAAATTCCTGATTTGGCATACATAACAATTCGAGTCTTGTCTGTATCAGATATAGTTCGGTATGCAGGAAGGAAACGAACTTGGTTTGGTTCTAGTAGTTCATGATTATGGTGGTTCGCAAAACCAGTGACACGCCACTCTGGTGGTCCTAATTCCATTGTTTTGCTTATCCTCATATATGCTTGACATCCACACCTGGAGGATTTTCTGTTTCTTTGAGGTTTATTTTCATTTGGTGTTTTAATAGGTGTGTTCCCAGCACGATGGCAAACAAAATAGCGCCTTGTAAGGCCTTTCCCAATCCCGTCTTTTCCCTCTGTTCGATGTCTTCGGATTGAGAAGCCACATCTCTTTGCAAATTCACTGTAAAACTCATGAGCAGAATCATGAGTGGGAAACCTTTGCCCTATATATGGAATTACATCATTACTCGAATCCAAGGACAGCCTGGTTTCATCAGGTGACTCCTCCGTGCTGCCGGTTTCGTCTAAAGACAAGGACTGTTGGTCAGAGGGATCATCATAGACCACCAACAACTGTCCAGTCTCTTCAGACATCATTTCTCATCTAACCACTCAAGTTCAGCTGAGCATTTCGAAATCAACAAACCAAAATGAGAAAGAGTAGAAACTTATCTGTTAAATGAACAGCTCAAACTATTCAGCACTCTCCATTTCTATCTTAAAAACGTTGAGCATTTCTTCTCCTTTCCTTGTCAAGAAGCCAAAAAACCATTCCAAATGAAAATCTACAGGTTACAAGTTTAGACATTTCTAATTTGCTCTGAAGAAGAGCATGTCTAAGCCATAGAAATTCCCTCCTAGTGTTCCAATATACTGCAGAATGGAGTTGGTAACGAATTTGAACAACATAATTTTGTTTTTGCATACAACACTGTTATCTCATCAAATCCAAGTCACAGCCAGAGTAACCAAATGAACTAAAACCTTCAAGTACCCACATCATGATTCCCAAATTGCCACAAATTTCCAATCCCAACACGTCTCCCCTTGATCAAAAGCAAACAAAAATTAGCAACTGGGTGTGGTGTTTTTGCAGATAATCAAATGGGCACAGATAGATTCCTTCCATTTTCATGTTCATGAAATGGGACGTGTAATCAGATTAGGGAATGGGAACGAATTGAGAAATAGAAAATGAAATATACAGAGAGAGAGAGAGAGAGGTGGTTTTTACCGCGGTTTTAAGGTTTAGAAGGCGCCATGAAGCCGTGAAAGTGAAAGTCGGGATTTGAAAGGAGCAGAGCCCTAAGTTGCGCAGGGAGCTGATGAGAACCAATTTATAGTTCCTGCGCACTTTCTTATCCGACGCCTACAATTTCTCTTCCCCTTATTTCTAAGGACACGCCATCTCAAAAACCTTTCTTTTTTTTTCTTTTTTTTGTTTTTTTTTTTAACAATAAACTACTAGTCTATATCCAAATTCAATTTACTATTTATGTTTAAGATTTTAAACTTTTAGGTTAAAATGCACACATATTGAATGGCATCCATGCAGAATTTTACAAATTCATCATTTTAAATATATATTTAATAAACAATTATGAAAAAATCAAATACGGAAAAATGGATTTTTCAACTTCAAATCTATTTTTCTCTACTTCATCCCACAAAACCATAATCCCTCTCTTTCTCTCCCACCATGTCGTCCCCTCCCTCCCTCCTTCGATGAGAGCAAGTGGCGGTACAACACCCACGAATCCGACCAAATTTGTAGTTACCTTCATGAATGTAAGTTATAACCTAGTATAAATAGGTATTTACACTATATTCATTAGATTCATAATAATATTTAATTTCAAAAGTACATAAGTATATATTTATGACCATGTGTATATAATATTAACATAAAATGAAATTAATGAAAAAACGAGAAACATAATATATATATATTATATATAACTAAAATTAAAATATTGTACATATTCATATAATAAATTATTGTGTATATTTTATAATAATACATAATAGACAAATTATATATAACCTAATATAAAGAGATATATACAATATGCTTATTAGATCACTAACAATAGTTGATTTCATCATCATGCAGAATAGAAACGAAAAAAAAATAAAGTTAGGAAGTATTAAACTGTCGTTTTACCGTATCATGCTGTTAGATTTTCTCTTTGAAAATGTAGTGCTCTTCCCAAATAGAGAACCATCACACCATGACCATCATTGTTCTTTTAAAATTTTCGATGAAGCATGAAAGGTATTGAAATGGAGCAAAAAATTGGAATGAAATGAAGTAAATTCCGACGATGGATTTCTGCAAATATTAGTGGATGGAAAAATATTTTGTGATAAATAGAATTATTTAGTAGAATATATTAAGGAGTAAATTAGGGATCGAAGAGATATTGATTTGGGACGCACGAGAATTTAATGTTTGGAAAATCAAATTTGAAACCTCAAATGTTTTACATTTAAATAAAAACAATTTATATTAAATATAAAGGCATAAATGAGCACTACAAGAAAAATGGGTTTTAGAGACATCTAAAAGATGTCGCTGAAAACCCAATTTCGTCACTAAAACTTTCAACGACGAAACTCGGTTCGTCACTACGGACGTCGCTGATACAACGTCGTTTAAAGTTTCAGCGACACGCGCTGTTGTCGCTGAAAACCAATTTCAGCGACAACAGTAGATGTCGTTGAAAAGAGGGTTTCAGCGACAATAGCAGCTGTCACTGAAAACAACTTTTTAGCGACATCCGCTGTTGTCGCTGAAACTGGTTTTCAGCGACAACTGCTTTTTTTATTTTTAGCGACATCTGCTGTTGTCACTGAAAACCAGTTTCAGAATAGGCAAAATCCTGTTTTCTTTCCAATTTCGCCATCAATTTTGTTCAATTTCTGTGATCCAAAACGACACATATATAAAACATCGCTGAAAAATATTTTTAATATTAAAAAAACATAAGGTAGATTCTCCAAATGTGTAACATCCTATCAAACAAAAAAGTACTTTCTAGCTACAAA